TGGTAGAGCACTCTCATCAATATAGGTATAGTTGTTAATAATAAGAGGTATAGGTATAGTTGCATGTATATAGGTATAGTTGTTAATATATATATATATATATATATATATATATATAAACAATATTGGTCAATTACTTTACATTTTTCTGTGTTGGTGTAGTGTACTCAGGTGAATATGATAGGTTCGATTCCTACCGTGGACAGGCATATTTTTCAAGCTTGCCCGGTGTGGATATACACTCAGAGTAACATCACAAGCATTACTTTACATTTACTGACATAAGTATACAATCTTTAAATACATGCACAATTCAAAAACATCGTAATATAAACGGACAAACTGACAGCTAAAAAAAATTAAAAGTACTTATATCACGAGCTGCAGAGTCTGCAGCAATTGGTATTATTGTCCATTATACTCGAGATGTCCATATTTCTAATATTGGTCTTAAACGATGTTAAGCTTGTAGATGCTCTTGTTTCCTTATCAAGTTTTGAACAAATAGTTGGACCTAGATGTTTTATTGAGTGTTTTCCGAAGAAAAACAAAGAGTAGACGAAAACTCAGTAAAATTGGAAAAAAATGTATATTCAGTCTGCATCAGAATAAAGTTTCTTTATCCCCACATCTTTCGACCGGTTTAATTGAAGAGTTACTACGTAAAGACAATAAGTAAATTAAGTATGTAAAATACTCACAGAGACAGTTGTCTCCATGCAAATAACTGGGTATCACCTTGTCGGAAATGGTTCTTTGAACAACAGGAATCACAGAGGAAGCAAGCCGGCGAAGTGTTTCTATTTCTGGAGCTTTTGATAGAAACTTCATACCTAATTTTAGTGTGCAGACGTGCAGTGATATAAAAAAATATCCAAGTGTTTTTCAAAGAATCGTTTTGCGATAAAAGCAATGCCAATGCAATTCAACCTCTTCTAATTCAAGTGTAGACTATTTTATATGTGGAAAAATTTTATATTTGGCCAAAAAGATCTTGCCATGGATTGCTAAACGAGTTACGTATTGACTATGACGTAATCATGGTAACACGACATTATAATATGCATACATAAAGTACTACCAGAACAAACACGCCAACGTGGATGAAAAACAACACTTGACTTTACATGTAAATTTCTAGGATTTTCAAATAGATCATCATGTGCTCTACAGCAGATAAACCAGCTTTGCATACTGTTGTTGTGTATTGTGGTTCAAGCTTAGGAAATAATGAAGCATTTGTTAAAGCAGCACAAGGTATCATAACCATTGCAATGCTGTTGCCATGACCCTACTTATGAGGGTTAGCACTATTTTCCATCCAGCAAACTGACCTGGCGTCATTTTCGCAGGTGTTAAATGGCTATGTAACTAACCCAAACC